CCATCTGCTTCTGGTGAGGGACTCAGAAAACTTGCAATCATGGCAGAAGGCAAAAGGGGAGCAGCCATGTTACATGGCAAGATAGGAAGTGAGAGAGAGAACGAGGAGGTGCCATATACCTTTAAACAACCAGATCTAAGGAGAACTCACTCACTATTGCTAGGACAGCACCAAGACATTCATGAGGGATCTGTCCCCATGACCCAAAGACTTCCCATCAGACCCCACCTCCAACATTGAGGGTTACATTTCAATACGAGATTTGGGGGGGCACCAACATTCAAACTATATCAGCATGGATTTGCTACTATGGGTTTGGTATTAGACCTGGGTTTGCTGTTCCCTCAATAAAAACCAGAATCCATATAGCAGTCATATTATAAACATTTTACCATTAGATACATTTCTAATGTTTAAGATACATATCTTTCATATAGTATTGCCCCCAAATGTAAAGCACAGTAATCAAGCAAAGAACAAGCAAAAATTTCAATTGCAGAAAGAAAAAATAATAGGCTTATATGTATTTATTGAAAGAGGATGTATCTAGATTCTGTACTAAATTTAAGTGATTTTTTCTGGGATAATTTCTACAAAATGAAATGTTTATGTTATATGCTGACTGTGGAACATTATTTTATAGTAGCCTGGTCTTGCAGGTATAGTTCATTTAATCACCCAAAGACATTTATGGAGAACTTACTATGTACAGACCCTGTCCTGAGAAGAGAAGAGAAGAGAAACATGATAAGACTTACGTTTTAGAAAAAGTGCTACCAGTGGTATGAACTTGTGGTGATGAGTGGAGCTGAGAGTCAAAGAGAACATGCAGAAATTGATGGGAGTCTGGACTGTGACAGTTACAGAGGCAGAGAAGCTAGAGAAGCTGATAAATCACATAAGGTTATGAGCAACAAATTGATTCTTTGTTGGACCCCAAGAGTCAGGGAGAGCAAGTCTAGAATAATGGCATTTTATAAGTAGGCTAAGTTTGACATTTTCAATCTTTAAGTTGTTGGGCTCTATAGGTATACATAAAACACAGTTCTCTGGTGTGTCAAAGTTACAATTAATTGTTATCAATTACATAAACATTAAAATTATTACCAAAAGAAAACACATTTTAGAATCATCACTTTGGCCATTTGTCAAGTATGTTCTTAAGGAGGCAGGTTCTGTAAGATATTACATGTAAAAAAGTTTTCCATGATCAAATAAGTTTGTGAGAAAGAGCATGATATTCCCTAAACCTTACTAAAGTCTCAAGTCCTTCACTCATGTGTTTCCCACACTTACTTAATCATATAACCATATCTTCTTAAATTCAAATGTTCTACAAACATATTATTAAAAATATAGATTTAGGCTGGGCACAATGGCTCACGCCTATAATCCCAGCACTTTAGGAGGCCAAGATGGATGGATCACCTGAAATCAGGAGTTCAAGACCGGCCTGGTCAACATGGTAAAACGCCATCTCTACTAATAATACAAAAATTAGCTGGGCATAGTGGTGCATGGCTGTAATCCCAGCTACTCTGTAGGCTGAGGTAGGAAAATCTCTTGAACCTGGGAGGTGGGGGTTGCAGCTAGCCGAGATGGTGCCATTGCACTCCATCCTGGGAAACAAAAGCAAAACTTGGTCTCAAAAAATAAAAATAAAAATAAATTAAAAAATAAAAATATGGATTTATTAACTACATAAGTTATAATCAGGAACAGGTGGGTTCTTATGTTTAATGAATTACAAGGAATATAGGCTATTTAGAGAAACAACAGCCAATTTGACAAAAGGTCCACAGGTATATGTGGCATATGTCAAATAGCAAAAATAAGAATAGAATCCAAAGGTCTGACTTGCTTTTATCTTCAGCCGAGTAAGAGCCAGAAAGATAAAAGCTGCCTTTTTCTCAATTAGCCAATAAGATGACATTAAAACAGGAAGTAAGAATATAAAAAGCTTCTGGAGACCAATATTAGGAGAATCTGTGAAATTGGCCTGACTTAATTATTATTCCATTTATATTTTATGAATATTAGGTTAGTGTAAAAGTAATTGCAGTTTTTGCCATTAAAAGTAATGCCCAAAACCACAATTACTTTTGCACCAACCTAATATAAAACAGATTACAATAGATGTGTATCTCAGAGCATAGTTAATTTTCCCTTATTTATAATAATAACACACTGCATAATTATTATCACTCACTATAATATTCTGTTATTGACTATAAATTAGGCCACGCTGTAGGCACTCATCAGAATAAACAGAAAATTATGGTTACAAGTACAAATAACAGAATCTAGCATAATACTACCATGTGATTAAATTTTAACCTTATATTTGTAATTTAAAAGAACCTTCGTATTTCTAAATACGATTTTTAATAAAAGCTGTCCTAAATGTCAATTATACAAAATAAAATATATAAAACAAATTCTGGCTGTCAGACACATGTTAATATAGGATGGCACAATGTTCATGACTAAGTCACAGGATTGAACTTGAGTTAGAAGTTTCCATTTCTATTCATACTTTCCAAATATAAAAATAAGAGTTTAATAGTTTTTGTCATGTTCATTCAAAGTATTATAATTTTAATTCTGGAGCACCTTAAAATCAGAAAGAAAATTAACATGAGACATACTGCCCATTCTTGAATGATTCTCTCATCAGTAGCATTATCAGTTGAATAAAGTTATCAGTACTGAAATAAGAATAACACCTGACTGCTCTAATCTCAAACAATAATGAGTGATGAGAGGGATGCATCTTTGGTTATTATAATCACTGTCAATTTCTTGCTTTTTTCTAGAGAATTCTAATTTTAGTGTGTTTCATTCTAAGTATTTGTTACCTTTTTATAGAACGTTAAGGAAAAAAGACAGAATATTCATTAGTCACTCAACTCAATACAACATCCTTTTTGTGTTGTGTGTGTGTGTGTGTGTTTTTTAAATATACTGTATTGCTCTATTTTAAAACTTTGACCAATAATTAATCACAAGTTTTTACTTTTTCAAACTGTCGTATCTCTTCTGGAGGTACCTAATTCATCACTGCATGCAGTGCACTTTAAAAGGAAAATCAGACATTAACTTCAATAAAGTCCCAGTATAAAGGCTACACCTATCTATTTCTAATCTCCTTTTCTCAAGTCACAGAGGTAAACCACTACTGATATCTAATGGAAATCACTGCACTTTTGTTCTTGATCTTATTTCTAGGTCAATGATCCTGATTTTCCTTGTGTAATGATTCCTTCCTCCCTATTAAATCCAAAAAGAACATTCATTCAACTTTGCATCTCCAAACTACTTTATACGTTTCACTCTCATTTATATTCATAATTCTGGTTACTTTTGTATTTGCTTATATACCATTTATTCTTCATCCAACTGTAATCTAGCCTCCCCTACTTGCCCCCACCCCACTCTAGTTCAGGAGTTGGCAAACTTCTTCTGTAAAGGACTAGATACTATTTTAGGCTTTGCTGGCCACATATATCTTTGTTGAATATTCTTCTGTAGTTTTTGTTTTGTTTGTAACTCTTTAAAAATGTAAAAAACCTTTCTTGGTCCACAGTCTGGATTTGGCCTCCTTGCTATAACTTGCAGCGAGCTGCTCTAATTGAAAGTACTCTACTAATAGCACCAGAAAAACTCCTTTTGGTGTTTGAGGGGAGTAATAAATTATCCTCTGTCCTTCCTGCAAAACTTCAAAGGAAATCAAACTATCAGCTTTAATACTGGTAAAATATGAGGGGCAGTGACAGCGGGCTTCCTACTAGCTGTCTGCAACAGGCACAGCCCTACCCTCAGAAGGCACCCTAAAAAACCTACAGTGTAGAAGAGCACACCAGACAGTGTGCTCTGCAGGAAGGATGGCTCCTAATCTGAAGAAAGGTACTCCAAGGGTGAAGGAGGAGGGTCAGCTGGCAAGGTGTTTAAAAAGAAAAAAAAATCCCTCTTCATGCAAACTATAGACCTGGGGCAGAAAAACTCCAGTCTTACACTCCACATTGCCAAGTCAACCCAGACTTCAGACTTCTTTTTCATTTATTAATCACTTTGCAACATTTACCTCTTTGAACACTTGCTTTTCACTGAAACTCTTCTCCCTTGGCCCCCAGGAGAGCAATTTCTCTGGAGTCAGCCACTCTTTATCTGATTTTAAACCTTTGGTGTTTCCCAGAACCTCCTCTTTGCCCATCTTTTCTCATTCTGCATACTTTTCAGAGTGATCTTATTCACTTAAAGAATATCAGTTATCATCCATATGCTTTCTATATTAAATCTCCATTTAACTCAGGTCTCTCTTGAGTTCTAGAACTATGAATCCTAATGCATCCCCCATCTTGTGAATAACCCCCATCTACAGTTTATCAGAAACATTAATTTCACCCTCTTCTTTTTTTTTCTCTTTTTTTTTAACATACCACCTTGGGCCTGAGGTAGCCAATAAGTCTGCCTCAAGGCACCATCAACAACTCCTCTGATTTCAAGGTAAATTTTATATACAGATAAAGGTTGATGAGAAAGTAGAATACTTGGATGAGTGGGTCAATGTGTTTGTACAGCCATTCATGTCTCACACATAGTGTTGAATCTGAGTAGAATTTCAAAGTCTGTCAGCAAGTAATACAATTTCCCACTTGCATATTTAATTTATCATTATTATAAAAAAGATGATCAATTTCACACTCTTATCACAAATGAAAGCTAGGCCACTATTATTATATTTCTAGATAACACCATTACAACATTGTTATATTACATACTTTGTTTCTGAGAACAGGAAATTTGAATACTTATAAAGTTTTGTTTATACACTTTTTTATTTTTTAAATATTTAACACTAGAAGATCTTATTAAAAGTTGCAAATAAATTAGACACCTTAAATTCCAGTAGCCATATATTTTTATATGAAGAAGATAACCATGGTATGAATTTTTTAAAACTTTTTTCTAAAAATGATATTTTCACCATTTTTTCCTAGCACCCTGTGGAAGTCGTTCAACAGGTTCAGAAGGCACTGTTCTATCACCAAACTATCCAAAAAATTACAGTGTGGGACATAATTGTGTTTATTCTATAGCAGTTCCAAAGGAGTTTGGTAAGTAAGATTCGACTCATTATGTAGTATTTCATCCAGACATGCTTTATTTTTCACTACATGCTATTCAAAATTTTTAAATGAAAATACCTACTATCCATAAAGTATTTTACTTTGCAATTCTTTTTAGATGGTGGTTTTGTAATAATACAATTTTGAGGTCATCTTACTCAATCTGAGTTTACAGTCAAGTACACAGGTGAACAACAATACAAAAATGAAAACAGGATTGTTTTTAATTTTTAAAAATGAGTATATCAGTAACCTTGCAAGTGCCTTCATATTGGAATTTTATAAAACGGGAAATTGCCAGAGCATAAAGCCAAGGCTGCTCTGTAAAATATGTATTAAGTCAAATATTGAACTATTACAATAGTAATAAAAGTATTTACAAAACAATCATATCAATTTTATGGTTTATTAACACATTTCCAGAAAGAAGAGCTTTTGGTTTTAAGCATCTAGTTTCAGGGACAGCAATAAATACAAAAAGACAGCAAAGGACATTTCAGATCATCTTGTCAACCTGACAATCTATTCTGCATTGGCACTAAGAAGACAATGTGTCCTTTGCTGCCTTCACATCTTTCTGATCACACGTCTTAGAAGTCACTTATCTGGCTTCTAAAGGTTTTGGTTCTGAGATCCAGCTGGATCTAACCCAGATTAAGCTCTGTTCATGGATGGATAGGCAAGGGAAATTTAGAGAGCAGCAAAGTTCATAGACTTCTACAATTTAGATTTACAGCATTGTGTTACATAGTAAAGGATTTGTTATAGCTATAAGGAATGTCTGGGTCTGGATGACTCAGTATTTCAGCAGAAGGACATGGATTTTATCATTAGAGATAGTTGCATAACATCTTGACTTAACATTTCTGCTGCTGAGATATAAAATAAGCTGATGCTTCCAGTCCAATTTTTTATAACCAGATACCTATATATCCTCCTTTTCATCCTTCTGAAACAAGTCCAAGATCTTCAACTTACTTGAGAGCACTGTCATCAGAAATGAAGTACTAAACTTTTTATTTGAACATTTAAATAGAGTGATGATGCCAGCATTAGCAAAGTGTATGTTTTTGTACTCTACAAAGTATTTCTTTCCCCTAGCGTATCGATCGGTTGAATCAAAGGTGAGCTCTTTGATAGTGAAGAGAATGACAGTTTAGAAAGAAAAATATCATTCCCTTAATTGTGTTTATTTTTTGCCTTTTGAGTCCTTCCTTTGCTAGAGAGTTTTATGCTCCCCAGATGCAAAAAAATGTTACATGGTTGCTGACAGAATCCTAACAATTATTATCCAGAAAACTTCATGGCTCTCTGAGTCTTCTTTGGAAGCCATTATTTATCCTATTATTCTTGGGATGCCATGTGGCCAAAGGAATGAGAAAGAGGAAAATTCGCCATTTAGTGTCCTGACAAATAGACATGCTGGTCACCTTGGAGATGTATTACTGTAGCCTATGTATGCTCAAAAAGAGAAAGAAAAAGTACTAATTGAAATAAAAGTAAATTAACAGATTCCTAAAGAATGAAATCTATATTTTTGTAGGGTTAATATAAGTTGAATTTAATCCTCTTAATATTAAAAAAAACTGCTATGTTGAGCCAATAATAGTTGGTTTTTAAAACTATTTTTTAAATGAATCTTCTTGTTTTTTGTGGACAAAACAAAGTGTACTTTGATTTATTAGTAAAAAACTAATTTTATTTTACAAATGTTGCATCATTCTTCATTTTAAGTTACATATATATTTAAGCACCGGTATTCTAATTTCAGCCTTGTCACATGTTAGCTATCTGCCTTCGAACAAGTTACATAATCTCTTTGAGACTGCCTCTTTATTTATAAATTTGGTATCATTTTGTTTGTAGATTAGAGATGTGAGCAGTAAATGAGAGAGATACATACACATGTAAAGTATGTCTAACATACTTCATGCTTAATATCATTGGGTTAACAAATGCCAGCTTTCAAGTCAGATTTCTGAGTTAAGGCTCAACTTAACTTACTTGCTATTTTCATTGGACAAGTCACATTGTCAGCCTGAACCTTACACATCTCTAAAGTAGCAATGGCAAATACACCTTATATGGTTATTTTATAATAATTTGATGTATATGAGTGATTGGCATAATAACATAGTAAGTCATATGCATACACAAGTACACATATACACCTTCTTCTTTATGTTCACATTCATATAAAACATCCCCTGCCCCCTCTTCCACCCCCGAAAAAGGTTAAATTAAATGACCTACATTATTGGATTGAACTAAGGTCTTAAAAATAGCATTTTTAAAATAAAACAACTATTAGTGTTATTTAGTTAAAGCGTGAAAACAAATATTTTGGGTTTTATATCCCAGTGGCTATTCAATCATCTGATAATCCCTTGCAATTTTCTGGGAGTAAGATAGTGGAAGTAAATAAATACTGACTGTTGACTTCTTCCTATTACCTTGCTATTACCTTCCTTTACCTCTTTGATGAGAGATGGTCAAGCAGTAGTTACTGGATCTTTACAAATCAGATTTCTATTTTGCTTCTGCTTCCTCTCATTCTCACTTTGCCATAATTTTTTTTCTGTTGCCACATTGAGCTATATTTATTACTTTTCAGTATTACTTCATCACATATCACTTCCCACATTTTTTTATTTTACTGTCATTTATCTCAAATTACAATAATTCCTTCGTCTATATCTTTTATATGCAGATGCTCTTAGAACATGACTCTTACATCATTTAGCACAGGGGTTCCTAACCCCTGGGCCATGGACTGGTACTGGTCCTTGGCCTGTTAGGAACTGGCCTGCACAGCAGGAAGTGAGTGGCAAGTGAACTATCATTACTGCCTGAGCTCCACCTCCTGTCAGATAAGCTGTGGCATTCGATTCCCATAGGAGTGCAAACCCTGTTGTGAACTGTGCATGTGAGGGATATAGGTTGTGCACTCCTTATCAGAAGCTAACTAATGCCTGATGATCTGAAGTAGATCACTGAAACCATCCCATGGAAAGATTGTCTTTCACAAAACCTGTCCCTCATGCCAAAAAGGTTGGGAACCACTGATTTAGCACAATATCTGTCAAATACACTCAGTGCATTGATTGGATTGCATTTTACATAGGGGTTAAGGCTCTAACATCCTTATGTGAAAAGAAAATAACATATAACCAACATTACACATGAAAATAAATTAAATCACCCACGAAAGATCTACATGACTTTACATATGACTATTGTCTCTGAAAACTCTAACAGAACATTTTTAGTCCTTCAAGGTAAGAAGAGATAACAGATTATTTCAGATAATTCCAGATGAGCTACTTGTGTTTCTTACAGGCCATGTGATAACAAATTACTTTTTTTTTTTTTTTTTTTTTTGCCTGGTGTAGAATTAAATGCCTGTAAGTTATTTTTGCCATTACTTTTGATGGCAAAAACCACAATTACTTTTACACCAACCTAATAAATACGTGCATATTACTCCACTTTACTGGTTGATTGCGTAAATACTCTTTGTCAGTCAATTGCCATCTTTTAGTTTTTATAAATAAGACAAATGTCAATTTATAATGTTTTCATGAGCATCACTGAATTTCATTTGAATTCAGGTATTGGGGTCAGATTTTGGCAATATTCATCCTGCAGGATTCTACTTGTTTTATTATTCTTAGAAAAATAACAGTTATGGATCAATTGGATATCATTTATTAATATTTTACTCCCCTCGTTCTACATACAAGACTAATTACATTTGGCTTTTTGGATTTAAAAAATCCTACTTATCTATCAATAAAATATATTTAATTTTTCTTTATTTTTCAATGTTTAATCACCAGTTGCTTTTTCTTGTGGTTTAGTTGCTTAAGACTTTATGAATTATATTTAAGTGTCAGAAACATGGAAGACCAATTTTATTTTACTTTTCATTTGGTATAGATAACATGCTTTAGAATGTAAGAGAACTGTTAACATTGTCAGAGGGAAATTTTTTTGTTAATATGTATTATACTTATACCTAGAGTATAGGAGTCTAAATAAGATTTCAGGGAGGGAGGAATTAGTAAAATTTGGGAATAAATGTGTGGATTTCTATCTCAACAATCCTGGCTGAGAAGAAACATAAATATATAGGATGACAGTCAAAGTAGAGTGTAAATCGGCAGATAATGTTTGGTTTTGTTTCTTTTCTCTTACTCCAGCAGATACTGGGGTCTTTAATTTAAAGCCCAAAGAGAAAGACACAGTAGAGAAGACAAAGCTGAAGATATGAGGTGTATCAATTGGTTAAAAAAAACAAAAACAAACAAAAAAAAAACTTCAGGCAATTGGAGGAGATGAAATTTTAAAAACAGAGGGAAGACCTCCTTATAATTCGGAAGAAATAATTTGCAATTAGCAACATGATATCTGGATTACTTTCACATGAAATGTTGAAATAGTCACATGAAATATTGTTGGAATTATCATTCCTTCCTATTCTCCCACCTCCATCTCTCTTCAATCATCCTCTTCTTACTTTCTAGGAATTATGTGTAACAGAGGACATATTCGTGTCCTAAGGCTACTATAACAAAGTACCACAGGCTTAGTGGCTTAATTTTATTCTCTCTTAGTTCCAGAGGCTAGATGCCTAAAATCAATGGGTCAGTAATGCCACACTTCCTCTGTCGGCTCTAGAGAAGCATTCTTCATTGCTTCTTCCTAGTTTCTGGTGACTCCCAGCAATTCTTCAGGTTCCTGGGCTTATAACTGACTTACTCCAATCTCTGACTCCCTCTTTATAAGACCGTTTCTCCTGTCTGTCTGTTTCTGTGTGTCTCTCTGTTTTCTCTTGTTCTTATAATGACACCACTTATTGGATTTAGGGCCCACTCTACTCTAATATGATATCATCTTGATCCTTAACTAATTACGTCTGCAAAACCCTGTTTCTAGGTATGGTGACATTCTGGACATCTTGGTGAACATAAATTTTGGAGAACACT